GTACACAAATTGTGTTTCTAGATGTGGAGAGTCTCTAAGGTTTTCAGTATATGTTCCTTTTAAAGACACCTCCTGCTGCTCGTTAACTGTCCGTTTCCCAAAGCGTGTTTGTGTTGACTTGAATGTAATGAATTGACTGTTGTTTCCGATCTGTTTTTATCTTTATCAATCTTGACATTGCAACATTTAACTGGAGCAAGTCGCATGCATCAGCTTTGCCACGAGGTGGTCAGCCATACGCTGTTGCTTTGTGATGCCCATGCACTGCAACTTGCAGGTTCCGTATGCTAGAAAGCAGCAACGCACCTATGCTGATCCGCTTCACAGGATCTGCCCCATGGGGCTTTGCAGGTACTATGTCATCCCTGCCCCATGCTCATGATGCACAATGCAATGATTGATGCATGGTGCAATGATCAATGCAATGATTACCTCAGCCACATTGCCCATGTTTTTCACATCTACATGCTTTAGTTGCTGCAGTTTGTTTTTCAGCATGCTGAAAGCACGTTCAATTTTGACACGTGTTTTATTTGTATGGTCTGTAGAAGCGGCGCTGAGTGGGGCTGAAGTGATCATTGTCTCTGGAAGGGGTGATGATCTCCGGGGAAAGGGGGAAGCTCCTGTCCTCGATGAGGTGTGCGTTAGATGGGAGAAGCTGCCGCCGATGCTCCCTGACGTCGCAGCAGAGGGGGCCTTCTCCGAAAAAAGAACACGGGAATCGTGGGCGCATCGCGGAACCCCACAAGAATATCAGTGAGTGCGCCGCGGTGCTCACAAGCAGCCAATAGATGTACTGTTTGGCGATGCTTGTGGGTATCATGAGCAGCTGCTATCTCCTTGCTGGGTGCATCCACGAAGAGAAAGGACCCGTCGATGGCTGCAACTACACCCGGGGAGCCGGCGCACGCTACAAAGCCTGCGATGGTTTCATGTAGCCACGCTCCTATTGGCCACGTGATGGCGTCATCGCGCGCGGCAGCAACATACTTGCAAAATGTTGTCATATACCAGTGTGACCCAGATTTTGAAGTTCCAAACTTGTCGCCAGCGGAGTGCTGGGGTGCTGGCTCGGCAAGATATTGCAGCGCAGGCATCACATCTTCCAACGGACGCTTCTGGCTGACTCTGCGCTGGCCATGATTGTCATAATAAGGAGCCATCCTTGCCTCGAGATTTTGAGAAACAAAACGTGCGCGAGATACGAAACTGCGACTCGAAATCTTCGTCATCATGTCCTGGGACCACGTCATGTACATAATGTTGTGTTTTGTTTACGCGACGTTGGCGCTATGGCAGGGCCAGAACCGCTTGTCTTGTCTTGTCTTGGATTAGAGCGCATAGCCTCCTGGGCTCAAGCGTCCGTTTCAGTTGTCTTCGTTGCGTCCCTTTTGTATTAAGATTTTCCTTGCAACTTCCTTTTGGTATACTGTGGAGACTAAGCATGGGGGAGGAACATGGAAGATTTAGCCACGGGATGGATCCTGGTGCAAATGATGTATTAGTGCTCAGTAGTTAATAATGTCTCGAGGTACAGATTAGGAGCCACTACGTACAAGTAAAGTACTCATTTATACCAACAGGCCTGGTCTCCTCGATCACCTCGTTCGTTCCACACTCAAACAATAGCACAAGATCTCGCAACTTCAGTCACACACGACACGACATGAACCGCGGTGGCACGCATGTTTGTTTGTCAGCACTCTGGTACAGAATCTGCTCTCCAGGCGCCGCATTTAAACATCTATATATTGCTACATTATCAATCAGTTCGCGTCTATCCTCATGGTTCGCTCAGCCCGACGAGTTGGTCGCTGGTCTTTCATCGTTTTTCGCCTCGCTACGGGGTCTCCCTGTTAATGCTAAACTACAAAGCAATATAAAGTTATGGCAAAATTTATAAAGATAGAAGCGAGCTCATACACGCACATGATCACACACACAAACACACACACACACACACACACACACACACACACACACACACACACACACACACACACATACACACACACACATACACACACACACAACACACACACACACACACACACACACACACACACACACACACACACACACACACACACACACACACAGACGTGAATCAATCACTGCTTTCATACCACCGTCCACCAAATACGATGCCTCACAAGACTTGAGCACATTTGTGACCTCGCAAATTTCAAATCATGGCGAACGGCACACACACAGTAGCCATGTTACTTGGTGGATCAAAAGGAAAACAAAAAGAAAAACGCATGCATACACATGATAGACCACACTTTTACAAGTCTCAGGTTTGTCATACATGCTCACGCAGAATCATGCACTAGCACTATAGCTCTTTCACAACCGCTACGTCGGCGAATGCGCCAATGTGTTAGTCACTTTCTGGATCCTGCAACATAGTTTGTCTGGACAGTATGATTGTGGGAAAGTTTATATATGCCTTGAATGCTTTAGAGTGTGAATATACTGCATAACCTGACGTCACATGTTATACGTGAGATTCACGTGAGATTGTACGTGAGGTTCACGTCTCCTTGAATACTGTTCGTCTGTATGTCTATGTGTAGAACTCTCCTTCATGCGACTTGTCACATGAGATTTCTCCCTGCACATGTGCTCCGAGCAAAGCTGTATCCCTGCTTGCAACCACACGCGCCAAGACTCGTCCATGCGTAACAAAATATATGGACGACCTCAATATACGTGCGCGATAATCTTAGCTGGCATAAGGCGCTAAGTTACCAGTGCCTGTTAAACTTCGTGCCCGTGAGATGATCGATTGCATGTGGTTACGCTCGCGCAACGCTTGAAGTAATGTAACGCCTTTCGACGTCGAGGGCGATGATCCGCCATTATCTGCATATAATATTCTCATTAAGGTAAGTCGTCATGGTATGGGCAGGTGTTGTGAGATACACATGAAGTATTTGTACACTGAAGTACATGTTTTGTCTTGTCTTGGATTAGGGCGCATAGCCTCCTGGGCTTTTTTGCACGGTAGAGGAACATGGAGGATTTAGCCACGGGATGGATCCTGATGCAAAGGATGCATTAGTACTCAGTATTTAATAATATCTCGAGCTACAGAGTTAGGAGTCACCGTATCTACATACGAATAAACTGTTCATTTATACCAATAGGCCTGGTCTCCTCGATCACCTCGTTCGTTCCACACTCAAACAATAGCACAAGATCTCGCAACTTCAGTCACACACGACACGACATGAACCGCGGTGGCACGCACGTTTGTTTGTCAGCACTCTGGTGCTGACAAACATCTGCTCCCCATGCGTCGCATTTAAATATCTATATATTGCTACCTTATCAAACAGTTCGCGTCTATGCTTACAGTTCGCTCAGCCCGACAAGTTGGTCGCAGGTCTCCCATTGCTTTTCGCCTCGCTACGCGGTCTTTCCTGTTCATACTAAACTACAAGGCAATAAAAGTTATAGCAAAATTTATGAAGATAGAAGCGAGCTCACACACGCACATGATCACACACACATACAACACACACACACACACACACACACACACACACACACACACACACACACACACACACACACACACACACACACACACACACACACACACACACACACACACACACACACACACACACACACACACACACACACACACACACACACACACACACACACACACACACACACACACACACACACACACACACACACACACACACACACACACACACACACACACACACACACGCACACACACACACACACACACACACACACACACGGAGAGCGACATGAATCAATCACTGCTTTGATACCATCGTCCACCATACATGACCAATCACGATGCCTCATCAGACTTGAGCACATTTGTGACCTCGCATTGAACTTCAAATCATGGCAAACGGCACACACAGTAGCCATATTACTTGGTGGATCAAAAGGAGAACAAAAAGAAAAGCACATGCATACACATGATAGACCACACTTTTACAAGCTTCAGGTTTGTTATACATGTTCACGCCGAAGTATACACTGGCACTGTAGTCCTTTCAAAAGCTTGCAAAGGCGTAAGAATTTAAGCACTTCGTCAATAAGAACTGGATAATCATTGCCAATTAGCAATTTCATACAAAGTGGCGTTCCATATTTGGGGCAGATTTCCACAATACGCCGTCGCTGACGCGCAAACAATGAGCATTCCACTAACATATGTTGAACTGTTTGAGGGCACGCGCAGTTCTCACAGGTAGGTCTTGGTTCTCGGTCCACAAGGAACGAATGGATATATCTTGTATGTCCTAGTCGTAGTCGGCATAGGACGATTTCTTCGCGCCGGTTGATCCTCGTTGAGGAGTCCCATTTTCCTATATTCTTCTTTACCGTTTTCAGTGTTGTATGAGGTCCGTGCCATGCCAGGTTCGGTTGAAAAAAAAATTATCACTTGGTGGATCAAAGAACTCCACCAGTTTTAGCACCATTGGGTACTAAACACGGCTCTCCTCTTTGCAAGGACCCGTACCAACTGGGCTTGAGGACGTGTCGATTTGTGAACCCTGTGCCCTATGCCCCTCCCTTGCCAATACCCCCGCTGCGCGTTTGAGGTTCGTGGCATACACTTCAGGTTGCGGAAGACCAGAAAGACGGGAGTCTGAGGTCCAGGCGCCGTTTCGGCTTGCGCAGCGCTGATGCAAACTGAGGAACATCATGAATTCATTTGGGCATGATCGCGGCAGCATGCTTTGCGGCAGTCTCAGGGAGGTGAATCCTGTCGTTTTTGTCGATCTCTTTAACCTCAGGGTGACTTATGTCAAAGCCTTATTTATTTGTTCAGGTTTTATTTGTTTGTAACGCTTATTTTTGTGCACAATTAATGAAAAACGTTTCGCGAATACTGTCAGTAATTAACCATATATATTTGTAGGTTTCTTGTCGCTAAGCTTGGCTGCACTTTAACAACATTCCGTTGATTTAGAAGCTACCTTCCACCGCTGGTCGGCGCCGAGCGCAGAGATGGCGGACGTAAGCTATGCCACTTATTCATCGTCATCCACGAATTAAAGTGTGATTTTTCTAATCATTGCTGTTATTTGTGACTGATTGTGTTGCTATGCCATACGTTTTAAAGTGGGATGGAAGGAAGTTGCTTATTACGTATGCGCCATAAATGTCTTCCGTGGATGTCCTCCAGCATTGGGCTTAGGAAATATTAAGTTTAAACTATGTGTAAGTTATACCTGTCGGGGAGGGTGAACAAGACCGTGAGCATCATTGGGGTAGTGAACAGAGGTGTGCCAATAACTTGAAGGATGGCATTGGGCCTGTAGTGTTGTATACAAATAATGACTCAAATGGCATGTTAATCTGTAAACTGGAGCAGATTTCATTAAGGTCTTGTTAGTGTAATGCGGAAGCAAGAACTAGCATATGGGGCAAATTTGAGAAATTTTGTGCCAGGAATCCATCAAGTAGGCAACTCACACTATTTTAGGAACAGCTTATGATGGATATTATGGGCAGATACCAAGTTGTTGAGTAGTCAGGAATCAGGTGGAACTATAGAATGCACTGTGATATGGAAATAAACCAAGGCATGATAATTCATAAAGGTGGGAGTAGCCCAAGGGTCAAATGCCCCAAACATATCTCAATGGCATCAGTTTGCTTTTTTGCTGTTGTACTGCTTCAGCCCTGGATGTAAATAATGATGCAGCAGCCATGTAACCAGAGATCCCCCAATTAGATTGAGGTGCTGGAATAACAAGCCTTGTGCAAGTGCAAAAAATATGCTTGCATTAGCCTCAGCTGCTTGTGCTGAACAGGTAAACTAGCTGCTAGTCAGTATCTGAAATTTGTTTTTGGCTCTTCGTAAAGAACAAAAATATTAAAATCACGGCTTGTGAGAACAACATAACCAAGTGAATTTGCAATACATTCACAGCTGACACTGAATGACATTCTTAGGCAGCAGATGGCAGTAAACACCATGCTCAAGCTGGTCTCAGTGATTGCCAAAGACCATTAGAAACTGCCTGCTTGCAATTCATAAGCTTTCTAGCTTCCCAAGTAAGTGCTTCCTTCCTAAGTCTTTGCTTGAATCTACTGTATTTTTAAGCCATGGAGCTGATACAAAGTCATTGATATTGATAACTATTGTTAAGGTGTCAGTCCCAATAAAGACTGATGAGCAGATGCTTAAAATGTTGTGCACCTGCTGCACCATTCCCTGGAGCACATAATGTTAAGTTTATTATTGAAATATTATGCAAGACACAGCATAAGTAGGAGTATTTGGAGCATTTCAGTTAGTGCAGCTACATTCTAGCCCAGGTACAATCTTTCTCACCCAGAGGAAAGACTTTGGGGCAATGTGATACCTGCCTAGGCTTTTACTGACCTAGATGTACTTAACTTGGGAACAAGTGTGTGGTTCCCTGTTTAGTTGGATAGGGTGCCAACCCCTCAGGGTGGGAAATTAGTTTTTTTTTTTGCTGGTGGCAGAGTACAAATTTGTTGTGGTCGGAGTACAAACTTGCCTGCAAGCAAAGGTCTGTCTAATGTGGAATGAGTGTCTGCACAATGGGCCTTGCTTGGAGTACATCACATACTGCCTTTAATGGGTCAACATTTTCCCAATGTTTTTCTGGCAAAAATTAGTGTCAGCATGCAATTTTGCATTTCAGTGGAACAGAGCACTTCTTGTGAGTGAGGGTGCCACAATGATCCCATCCATATCCCTGTATTGCTACTAGCTCACATATACATGCAAAGATCGAGTAATGGTACATGTTGATAAGAAATATACAGTTAGAGAGGTTAACAACAAAACTTAATACATATGCATTTACAGGTGCATCATGCAAAGCTCAGTTACTTATCATTACCTATCCACATGCAAACTTACACAATATCAAAATGATAAATCAGGTGCATCCTCTGCTTACTGACAAACTGAATTGCGGACAACCACTGTGCATCACACCCTGGCTTTTTAATGAGTCTTGGGCAGCTGCAACTGACTATGAAAGCCTTATGTATGTGACATCACTAACATGTTGTCCATTTGGCCTTTACATAATTAATATAAACATACCAAAAGTGTTCCTCTTCCTATCCTTGTCTTTCTGCTCTTCTCCTCTTTCAGTTCCTCACCTTCTCTTTCTGTCACTCTTCTCCTTCCACTCATCCTCCACTTCTTCTCCTCCTCTCTTCCTGCACCTCCTGTTATCCCTCTCCTCTTCTCCAAGTTCCCTATGATCCTATGTAGGGACAATTTTAATAGTGTCACTGCAAGACCTTACGCCTGACAGCAAGGAACATGGCAGCATTACCACCTGTCAGTTTACAGCAATTATAACCACAGGCTGAAAACAGGCCAGCCTCATATTTGATCCCACATGGGAAACCCAAGCCTAGCATTAATGCTGTATATAGATATCTTAGTACCTACATACCTACCCACCATGCTGTAGGTAGAGCAGGTTATACCAAGGTGATTCTGTACCAGCCTGCAGCGGTAAACATTTATAGATCAGTCCCCGGGTATTTATTTACCTTTTTTGGAATCACTTAATAGCGGTCCAAAGCTAAATCCCAAGTAACTTTAGAAGTGTGGATGCATGCTGTGTGAAAATTGAAGACAACCAATTCCACTTGGCCTCACTGAATGCCTCAAACTCGCAACTACGATGCACATAATCCCAAGCAGCTTCACTCATCCTCTGCCCTCCTCACTCCCACCACATCAAGACAACCAAACCATGCACAGGAGTTCTGGCGCATTCACAGACATTGTGATGGCACTCTAGCACTCGTCAATGGGGCAACCAAGTACAAGTACCACGGGTCGGTCCTGAAATGACAGGCTGTGATGAATAGTCTAAGAAAAGCTATTTATGCAGTTGCACCAACACAAATTGTTAAGTTTGTGGTAGAAAAATCATAGAGCTTTACAGTCATGCATTTCAAGTTGCTATTTTCCACCTACAAACATATATTATCTTCTGGTGGCGCAAGACAACGCCGAGATAATGCAGTACCTGTACTACAAATCTATAGAGATTTCTCATTCTAAGGCATATCATGCCATTTCAATACCCTCTGAGGAAGGCCCGTATCTGGGCGATACCAAAACACGTAAATTTTTCATTTAAATTTGGCTAACTTTGCTAAAAACTTGCTGTTCTCCGGCTCGTACTCCGGCTTGTCCTCCCCGGGTCTCCCCATAGGCCCCATTGTGAGAAGGGCAACCAAGCACTGCGATTTTTTCCCACTGGGTTATGGACCACCTCTATCTTACAAGTATAGGTACTGGTTGAGCCTGGAGACATGATACCGTCGTTCAATAAGTAAGATATCCTCGAGTCTTCAAAGACCGACATTTACCAATTCCTGAAAAAGTGGTTGACGTACTATCATTTATACAATAGTAATAAGTTTTGGAATGCTGCATGTCACAAACTCCCATTTTGGGAACGTAATTCCCGATGACATTTAAGAACCCAAAAGGAGCCATTACCACCAAAAGTGCTGCCCACAAAGTGATATTTGGGTGCCATTTAATGTCATGATTCTATCTCAAAAGTGCCGATATGTGGTGTGTTTGAATGCTATGATTTTGAGTTTAATTGCAAGTTGGATGGTGATTGGTGGCTCGTATGGCAGGAGCAGGAATGAAACAGGCTGCTTTGAAAAGGATGTGCAATGCTGCAATCTTTGAAATTTTCCCACCAAACTGTTTGCAAGATGCACGTCCTTTGGTAAAATCGCTAGCATGTTATCTTAATATGAGGTAAGTTAAGAGCATAGTTGGCATGCTGGACTTCTTGCTCGGCGAGTCTTTGAATGACCTAGTTGAAAAAGATGTGCCATCGATGATTTTGGTGCTGCTAGTGGTTTTCTGGTCGAACGAATATTGTTGTAGGTGTCTGTTGCGACGCGGACCCTCACTGCTCGAAAATGCACTCGTCAGTTGCAGGAGGCTGGGGTGCCGTTGGTTTCGGGTACGGGAGGCGATGGGTTCGTCGCGTGGTGGGAGCCAGAGCCGTGATATGTTTGTCCATTTCTTGAAAGGTATCGGTAGGTGTGTGCGTCGTGGAGAATGCGGTCTTACTCAGGTGCGCCATATATTTTCCCCACAGGTAATGACATGCGAGGTATGTGGCAGCGGTAGGTACTTAAAACAAGCACATTTCATATTTCAGTTTATTTAATTCCCACAGAAGTAATTCACATGAGTTGGCATCACCATTCAGGAGTTGCATAGGCTTGTACAAGTGCATCTAACCCATGTAATACAATGATGAAGGGCATTGACATGAATGCCCTGGATTGGCTAGCTCCTGCAGGATTGCAGATGCCTGTTTCCATTTCTTGGTGCTCCATATGTTTTGTCCCTGGAAATCAAATAAAAGTTATAACTCACTTTATGAAAGCCAAGTTCATGCACCCTCCTGGCTGTCAAGAAAGCAAAACTGTCTGCCTTGGTACTTATACTCAGGCTCATACATTTGCAATGGTGTCTGCTTTGTGGGGCGACTGCAGCATTTGTCTGGAGTACAAAAATTGTCATTCTTACCAGTCAAGAGCCTGGAGTACAAAATTTCCTGGTGCCACATCCACCAGAAAACAGAGGTTTTTCCCACACTGGTTATTTAACAAACAAAATGAGGGGCTAGTCATGTACAAATACTTCATTTACATCAGAGGCTTGCAAAAGCTGTCAAGCTCAAAATTATGCAAACATGGCAGTTCATAGGCTTCAAAGGTGTCTGCTGGTTGCTGGAAATGTAGCTGGCAGGGATGCCATGCTAAGCATTGAGTTTACATAATGGCCAAGTGGTTAGCTCCTTTGTCTCCTTTGTTGGGACCTCAGGTTTTAATCTCAGTGCCACTATGGTCTGTCAGTGCTTTTGTGATGATCATATTTGAAGGCATTCTGTAAGATAGTACATGATGGCATGCACTTCTGGTGGCATGTGTGTCAGTGCTTTTGTGATGATCATACTTGAGGGCATTCTGTAAGATAGTACATGATGGCATGCACTTATTCCCCTTTTGATATACAAAGCATTGATATAGGGAGGTAGTGGTGTGAAATTTATGAAAGGTAGAATAAGTAAATTTCTACACATGGAGAAGTGTTGAAAATTAAGCTCATGTGATTAGTGCAGTGTTGGAAAACCTAATGTTTCCTGGTATAATGCATACCAGGAGATTTTGTACTCCATGATTGTGACTAGGTAAAATCAAATATTTTGTACTCCATCATGATGCAACAAGAACAGTTTTTGGAAAACCCATTTTACTTCTTTGTGTCAGGACAAAATAAAATGCCATCAGGAGCCATGTATTGATATCTGCAAGAGCACAGATTTTGCACCCACCAGACAAAGATGCCCAATAGCAAGCAGCCTATGTTGCCACCTAGGCATATGATAAACCACATTTGGAAATGTGAAAAATAAAACTTGTGAATGTTAAATGGTATCGCCTTTGAACAATACCAGGGAATTAGAAACGAGTACCAGAATGGCACTGGTTTGTAGATTAGCAAAGCTCTCACTTCCTATGCCCTATGCAGACCAACTCAAACTTGAACATGACTTAACCTATCATTGACGACGAACCGCATTACTTGCCAAGGATGCAACAAACAGTCATAGAAAACCGCACGCCCAATCATCTACCGCAGACGGCCGCCTACCCACGCGCCACCGCTGTCATGGCAATGCAAATAAGGGAATCACTCGCAATTCAGCGTCGGAAACGTCTAAACTATTCAGCGGCTTGCACCCGCCTCCCAGCTCAGGTTGGAGGTTGAACATAGCAAAGCTCTCCAATTGGTTTTAATGATTCGCCTCCTCGTGACTGATCTGTTAAGAGCATAAATATTCTGCTCGCGCTTATGCCTTGAACAGATTTGTAATTATTTGGAGGGAAGCTGTATAGAGATGGGAGTCACGATTATGAAGAAGGACTTCCTTGTTCTCATCCAGAACCGCCCTGTAGTTGGATTTTTTGCCACTTCCTGGTATCCGGAATACAAAAATGTTACGGGAGCTGTGGATTTAAACCAAGTTAAATTTGTCGCTTTGGGGTACAAAATTATAGCTGGTAATTCATGTTTTACAAAAATACCATTTGAAGTCGAAAAACGTTGCCATAAGTAGCCAAAAAACTGTTCGGAGACCGCCATCTCATTTCGACAAAAACACCAGGACACTAGAGTAACATAAACCCATAACTTTGGCCGGGCAAATTAAGGAGGTTTTTTTAAGGACAAAAACATCAATTAATTGCAACGTAGATGATCATATTTCGCAATGATATCGGTTAAAGCGCATCAAAATCCATTAATGCCTTGCAGGATCCGCCGGAGTCAGCGGAGTGACTGACTCCGGTCCCTTTTGGCCGGTCTGGATGGGTCTGTCAGGCATTGTCCTTGCGCTGGCTCGGTAAATCGGTGAAGAGTACTGCCTGTCTCTATTGTTCCAATGGGACGTGCAGGGCCTCTTGTGTTGACCAGGAGTGGGAAGATGGAGGGTGTGAATGTTAAGCTGTTTTTAAAATCAGTTGCCTGGTGCAGGCGTGACCGTGGTGGAGCGTGAGTAGCGCGATCGTGGTGGAGCATGATTAGGTGGCCGTCTGTGGCATGTTCATTTGCATTTTTGTGTGCCATTTTTGTCTGGCTGTGCATACTGTACCCACCCTCCATTTGAGAGGGTGTATAAGCCCGGTGTGTAGCCACCCTCCATTTTGGAGAGGGTACAAGCCCGATGCGTAATTACCATTCGTTTTGGAGGGTGTATACACAGAGCCTTCCATAAATTGCTAACCAATGTATATGCACATGTTTTTCATTGTACAGAGTATGAGACTGTGTTGTTCCAGTGTGCCATGTTTAATGCTGATGTTTCCTTTCATTTAAAGTGCTTTTACATGAATTGCTGTACATGAAAAGTGGCGTTTTTGTTGAGTTCCACCCATTGTACTATTATCCCTCAAAGGTAACCCAAATAAACCTGTACTGACCCGCAGCACTTTGATAATTTTGTACTCCACTATAGAAAATTGTACTCTGGTACCAGGAAAATTTTTGGAATTTCCAATACTGGATTAGTGGAGTAAAAGTTAGGCCACTTAAGCCTTAGATGTAGCTGCGAGGCCACCTAAGCCTTATATGTTAGATGTAGTCCTTTGTATAGCCCCTTCTTTGGCTATACAAAGGACTAACAATGTGTAAAACTAGTAGCATTTTTTTGCTGGTGGCATAGTCAAGTACTGACAACTGCAATGTACTATGTGGTTGAAGGTGCCCGGTCTAGCTTGGTCTGTGATGCTGGTCCACCTGGCATTGCAGCAATCGGGCGGCCGCGACCAGCCGTCGCCAGCCGGCAGTGATCGCGACCGTGAGTTCGAGCCCACCGTCGACATGATGGTTAACGACTTCGACGACGAGGGCACGCTCGACGAGGCAGAGGCGAGCGAGACGGCCGAGCAGCAGCGCACGGAGGCCGACCTGCTGCAGCAGGAGCAGGACATGCCCATTGAGAAGTTGCTGGCCATGTACGGCCGCTACCCGGGCGGCAGCGGCGACGGCCCAGCACCGCCGCCGGCCGTCGCCGACCAGCCGGCGCCCGACGACGCCGAGGCCTCCCAGTCCAGCTCCACCTCAGAGGAGGCGGCCAGCAATCAGGTGCGGCCAGTGCACACACACACACACACACACATGGAGGCCCAGACCCGACCGGTGTGTCGGTAACAGGTAATTTGGTCTCAGCCAGCGACCTGCACTATCGTTTGCCACAGCAGTAACATCATATCTTGTGGACATAATCATTGCATCAGTTTTGTGTGTCAACACGGCTGTCGTTTTCGTCATGGTGTTCCTAGTCTTCATGTCCAGATGGCACAATCATTGCGCTCTTTTTGTCCCACCAGGAGCTGGGGCTAGACAAGGAGGAGGCCAGCGGTCCAGAGCCGGGAGACCGCGAGGTACCCGAGAGCAGCGGGCCGCCGCCGGCCAAGAAGGCGCGCCGCTCGGCACTGGCCGCCCTCTACCCAGACCTGGAGCCGGCCGGCGGCGGAGGCAAGCGCGCACTCCGCTCGGAGGTGCCGGCCGAAGACGGTATACCGACCACCGCCGCCGACGACGCCGAGGAGTCGGACAGCTCGGAGAGCTCGGGGGACGACAGCAACTGGCGCAAGACCATCATGATCGGCAGCGTATACCAGGCACAGATCCCGGACGGGCTGAGTCATTACGGCGACACGCCGCCCTACGAGAACGAGGACAAGCTGCTGTGGGACCCAGCGGCGCTGAGTGCGGCCGACGTGGAGCGCTACCTGGGCCAGGTGCAGGAGGCGCGCCTACAGACCGCCTCGGGGCTGGCGGCCGTGCCCAGCGGCTGCCACGTGCGCGACCATGAACAGGTACGGCTTACACTTATGTTTGGGTGGCAGTCGACACCTAGTGAGTTTGTGTTCTGGCATCATTAATGTCCCGTTTTGCTGACTTTGCAGCCTTTTGTCCAAATTTCACAACCAAATGTTGTCCAAACCATGCTACCACAGCTCGGGCCCAGAACCTCGATTGGAACATCATTGGGATGTATCAGTTCATACATGTGCCAAATGCACATGCCAGGGTTACCAACCAAGTGCACATGGACAGCAACATTTGTCGGCTCTCAAATCTTTATCTGTACCTTAATGCATATAAGTGTTAAAGCAAAAGCAACAGGGCGTCCTCGTATTGAATTTGCCTAAGGTAAGCATGATTTACGCGATGGTGATGTTGTCACCTGCCCCCTCGCCAACTGAAAAGGCACTGAATAACCACAGATGTATGTAAATAACTTCCACACCACTTGACAGTCAAGATGCAATTTTAGGCACAAGTTGTTGCTTTTCATAATTTGCAAACCAAATTAGTGTTGCTACATTTTTCTTGGTTTGTTAGTTTTTTACTCCCAAGTTTATCTTGCCTTGAAACATGCTTTAAGAAGCAATTTAATTGAAATTTATGTGCTGTTGAAATGTTTGAAAATTTAGCTTTCTACACATATCCTTTTTTGTCACCAAACATTTCGCCATGACTAAAATTGGTTGTGAAGCAGAGTGGAGTCAGCTAACTAGCAATGATGTTTAGGGTCTTTGTCGTTTGCATACCCCCGTTTTTGCACATGCTTCAGGCTGAATGTGCTATAGGCACTCTTGGCACATGGCTGTGTTTGTCATGCAGGATGTTTATGGGAACCTCTGTCTAGTCACTCCAGCCCCATTTCCAGTTTGTTTTCCGACATTTACCTGTTACTGAGTCTAACACTTCATAGATGTATATGGGGCTGCATTGTGCATGGGTGCATGTCTGAATATCTTGTGGCCTTTCAATGTGGATGGTCTACAAATCCACTTGTCATTTGCCTAGAAACCAAAGCTATTTCCCATTGAAGGCTGGAGTTGATCCTTATAAACTTGTTAAGGACTCAGTGATATTGGTTGTCTGAATGGCTGAGAAGTATTGGTATTCTGCATAATGGGTGTGATGAAGTCAGGCTTGTTTTTGTTAGGCATTGATTATTTGTACCTGAACCATTATACATCTACATCCATAAGCACATACATCTACAATGATTGTACTCAAGAGTAATTCACTTATTTTGTCTTACAAACTTGGAAAGCCATGCCAGTGATTATTTTCCCACATTGGTGCCAAATTGCACCTACAGTTGTCATGGGCTGTTGGAAAGTGTTCAAGTCGAGTTCAAGTGAGGTGGTAGCTTTGGCTACAAGCAGTCGTGACCAGGTGTACCAGGTAGATGGTGACAACTAAACTGAAAGCATGAAAAGGCTCATCAGTTGACATGCGCACAAAGTTTTCGGATATGGGCGCAAAATTATTCCAGTAGTTCACTGGCCGTAGAATTCCGATAATAGTTAATGCTTTCATATCAAAAACATGAAAAGACGGGTCTACAGCGCCTCACCAGTTCCCCGTAATTAACGGTAGGGGCCGGGTGGCAATCACCGGCCCCCTCAACCACAGATATGTCATTTCGGGGGACGGTGATCGCCACCATCGACAAGGAGCGTTCCCAACATTATTCCATCTGTACCATGGCACCGCCTCAAACATTCTATAGAACCAAGTAGCTGTTGCGTACGATCGAGTGTTGTGTTGGCGCTTGTGCCTGGCCGAGCGCTAATTCTGCCGCACGAGTACTGTTGGCGCACTGCGTGCAGTTCGGTGGCGTGTTGGCTGGTGTGCGTTGTCCAGGCACTGTTCCTGCTGCAGCAGTGCTATTCCTGTGCTGCTGCTGTTGACTGTTGTGTGTCGCCCAAGCGCTGTTTTGCTGCAGCAGTGCGATTCCAGCTGCAGCAGCGCTGTGGGTACACTATGCGCTGTCCGGTGACGTGTTGACTCGCACGTCGCCCAGTCTATGCTTCTGTTGTCGCTCCGTGTGCCGTCCTGCGATGTGCTGACGGTTGTGTGTCGCCCAGGCACTGTTCCTGCTGCAGCAGTGCGGTCACAGTGTGGAGGAAGCCATGCGACGCACACAGATGAGCAATCACCAGCCGATTGACGCGCTTTCGCTGTGGTCCGAAGAGGAGTGCGCAAACTTCGAGAACGGCCTACGCTTCTATGGCAAGGACTTCTACACGATACAACAGCAAAAGGTAGCTGTTTCGACAGGCCGGCCGATTTCCTGAAGTCTGGGAGTGTGAATGGTCTCTGCCATTTTTGTCCCGGAAAAACGTATCCGAAAGCCATCCGTGGTGAAATTCTGCCCTGGTTTGGGGGATGGTTGGCGACGTGGTGCATGATATCAACATACAGCTCTTTTGTTTGCTGTGGCCTCTCATCATCCTTTGCACAAACTGTGTGGAGGGTTGCAATGTTATCATGGTTATTGCTGTGGACAAATTGTTAGGATCATTAGAACGAAATTTGTTTATATTTTATTTTGTAATTGGTGAAAGTTCTCGCAACCATAAAGAACTCAAAATTGTATCACTGATCATGTTACGATTGGGAACTATACAATATTTTCTCAGGTTGTTGGGAAAAGTTGGCTAAAGGTTCAGGATAAACGGAATCGATTCCATTAAGTTACCAAAGAACATACCTTCAAATTCGGCGGAAGTTCGTGCAGCAGACCTCTAAAAAGCTGATTGCAAGGGTGTACTCCACATCTTTATGGGATTTTGAACTGAAATGACCATCTGGAGATCATTCGGTGCAGCTCACAGCCCCGCCCTTCTTGAGACCTAAGCCCATCTAAGTTCTGGGCCACACACCCGCGAAGATGTGCTGACTATTTCGGGGATTTTTTTCAAGATCACAGAACATCCATGACGTCATAAAAACGTCGCTCAAATCTTGCCATTCCATTGGCCGTGCGACGGCCAAGGTAAAAAAAAGATTGTCATGTCGTTCACATCTGGCATTTGTGGGCACGATTTCCAGATAAAACGGCCGCCAATTGGCTCTTAGCCAATGTTGTGAAAGGCACGATAACGCAATGAAACAATGACGTATTGAGGAGCATATATATTAAGCAGAAAAATCGGGCGTCTAGAACGCTCTTCCGCTGAAACTACACCAGTACTTAAAAGTTAGCCTATTTAATCATGTATGATGCTTGCTTCACTATCTTTAAATGTCGAACATTGCCATTATATCAAATCATCCGGAATATGGGATTAAGATATTGTGAAATATATATTAGATGTTATATGTTATATAGATGATGTATTTTTGGAAGATTTATATTATATATTTGCAATATATAATATGTTTTTATGTTAATATATTATCTAACATTATATGTTAGATAATATATATTGGATTTCTTACCCACCGGATGTAGAGTGCAGGTCCAGAGCTGGAAGTCGGACTGGACCAACGTCGTCAGCGGCATCCCGCAAGGATCAGTGCTTGGACCAACGCTGTTCGAAATTTTCGCGAACGATCTACAGAACAAGTACCAAGCATGGTGTAGACGTTTGCGGGTGACACCAAGGTCTGCTGTCGTGTCCCAAGGCGCCTGACTGACACCACTGCAGGTTGACCTTGACGCCCTGGCCAAGTGGTCAAAGGAGTGGCTGCTCTCCTTTAGTGCAGCAAAGTGCAAAATAATGCACATCGGGAACTGAATCCCGAGGCTGACCTACTTCTTGCACGCCGCCGAAATCGCGGTCGAGTCCACCGAGAAGGACCTCGGGATCTTCGTGTATTACCGGCTTCAGTTCCACGTGCAGACGGCGGAAGCGATCTCCAAGGCCAACCAGATGCTGGCGGTCGTGAGGCGGTCTTTTGCCAACATCGATGTTTGCACGTTGTCATTGCTCTTTAAGATCTTAGCACGTCCGTATTTAGAGTATAGCAACGTCATCTGGGGCCCGTTCGGCAAACTGGACCAGAAGCGGCTGGAACAAGTTCAGCGACGAGCTACCCGGCTTGTCTATAAAGTGAGGCGCCAGCCATCCCTGAGAGGCTCAGACTCCCTCAGTTGCCCTCGCTGTACTACCGTCGTCGCAGGGGAGACATGGTAACTGTACCAGCTGTTTTACGGAGGTATGTCGCTGTCGGAAGAGGTGCTCCTGACAAGGCACAACTCGGAGGTGACAAGAGAACACCAATGGAAGCTCAGAAAACCTCGAGCTAGGACTTTCGTCCGTCGTAACTCGTTCAGCACGTGGGTTGTCAACGATTGGAACGCTCTTCCCTACCCGGTCGTGTCGTCAACTTAGTTGATCAGTTCAAGTCTAGGCTTGATAGGCACTGGGTTGACATATATGACGTCCCATACCAAATCTGTCCATGATTTTTAGACTGTTCGGTTACCGGACCGGTAGCCTGACGAGACCGGGATCTACAGGCCTAGTGGCCTGTTATAATTCCGGATCACCACAAGTTAAGGTAAGGTAAGGTTAAAGGCCATTAGAGGAAGCTGCCATCATGAAGGTCAAACAAGGCTTTCATGATACAAATTATCATTGCAGTAAGTTCTCTTCGTCATGGGCCGCAGCAGCACGCTTTAACTTTTGGTTCCCGAATGAGAGCGTTATTGCTTGAGAGCGGAATTCCTGTTCGGGGTGTAAGGCAAGTAAGCCGCCTGGCTTCTCCTCCCTGGCAAATGACCACACCCTTCATTGACACCTCGCTTACGGAAATTAGGAAAAAAGACGTCACACCACACCTATTGAGATCCAGGGCAGTTGAGCTTTTGGCGTGTTATGAAGGATATACCCTGACATACACAGACGGATCCAAAACCTCGGATGGCGTGGGTTGTGCTTTCGTTAGCGGGTCCGTCACTCGATCGTTCTCGTTACCGGCTCACTCGTCAGTTTTTACGGCGGAATTAGTTGCAATCACCAAGGCGATATGTTTCATCGAAGTGGGTGAAGAATCTTCACACGCCATTTTTACAGATTCACTGAGCAGTCTCTCTGCACTGAAGTCTTTTTATCCATCATGTCCCCTTTTACAGGACATTTTATCACGCCTGACACAATTGAATCGGGTTGGAAAGAGAGTTGCACTATGCTGGATCCCTAGTCACGTCGGTATCGTGGGCAACGAACTGGCTGATGCCGCTGCTAAGCGAGCAGCGGTAGCACCATATACCCGGTTTTTGCCTATCCCTGCCAGAGATTTTTACCCGGCAGTCAAGACCTTCCTGAGAAGCAGATTGCAGCGCTGTTGGGACCAGGTGGGGGGCAATAAGCTCAGGGCAATAAAGACAGAGTTGGGCTTGTGGTCGTCATGCTCTCGCAGTGTGCGGTGGGAAGAGGTGGTTTTATGCAGGCTGCGCATTGGGCATACCTATGCCACCCATGGCCATCTGTTACATGGAGCCGACAGACCCCTATGCCAGCGGTGTGGTGCCGTCCTGACTGTCCATCATGTCATTATATCATGTCCATGCCTCTTCGAAGAACGACGACGTCACTTTGGTTCACAGGCTTCGACCCTGACGATAAACGATGTGCTTGGTGACAGTTCCTCCTTTCTTGGTCCCAAACAGCTCTTTTCGTTTTTAAAAGATATTGATTTTCAAGTCATTTTCACACCGTACTAATTAACAGCATAGTTATGGGCGCAAAATGACCACTGCAGTCGACGCGCCCGAAAACTCCAATGAACAACAACAGATACAAATTATCAGTTAAAGCTAGGCAAGGCTGGGTTATTGAAACAAGGATGCGATAATGTCTATGGCTGGCCTCTGTGTGTCTGATCTCCATTGAGATAACTTCGTCATTTGTGCCAACAGGTGCGGACCCGATCAGTGGGCGAATTAGTGCAGTTCTACTACCTGTGGAAAAAAACGGAACGACACGACGTGTTTGCGAACAAAACCAAAATGGAGAAGAGAAAATATGCCCTTAATCCTGGCGTCACGTAAGTACACATTGGGCTTTATCAACTGAATTATCATAAGTAGCCATTCCATGCATATTTAACATGCAGCTTTCAGCGACATGAAGTATCATGATTTGTTTTTGGAACTAAATGCATATGTATTGCCCTTTATTCATAACTGACCACTGCTAGGCATTTTCGAATTCGTTAAGTATCCAGTTAATGTGAGGCAGGCTTGGCGGCATGACGTGACGTGCTCACTTCGTAGTTACCTCATGCCGCTAGAAGCATGCGGTTAGCAAAAGCATATAGCTGCCATGACATCAGAGATGTGACCATTGCTTGCGTGCGGCGGCTTGGTGGGCACACATTTTTGCCGTGCTGATGGTGCAGTCCCCGCCAATATGATCTATGAGTGAGAAGCAGACGCACGTTTTTCAAGGATTCGATTTCCCCGAAAGGATTCATTTTTCCTCCGACCAAGAAAGACCTATATGTATGCCTGGCTATCGGAGCAAAGCTATCACGGCCTTCGCCTTTTAAACCATTTGGGTGGCTGGATCAGTGTCCACACAACAGCTGTGCCATGCGAGGTCTCTCCTTGTGTATCAGTAGCTAGTAGCTAGTAGTAGCTTGTGTATCAGTAGCTGCCCAAGGATAGACTAGTCTTTTGGGCGGAATCATTAACTGACATGAAAGAATGCACGCTTCTATGTTTGCTTTCTCTTGGCTAAGTTCAGGCATAAATTAAGCTCAAGAGCGACCTGCCGTATGTACGGCCGTATTTCAGTATAGTACGGTGGAAATGGCTGTTGCTTGGCCGGTGTCATCGTATGATCTATCGCTGTAATAGTGGCCGCTTTGCCAGGGCAAGGTGAGGCACGTATTACAAGTGATGTTGCTAGTCAAAACACACTACAATGCGGTAAGGCCTTTGCGTTTTCTTTGCTCGCCTTTTGCGATGAGTATGTCAGGTGATATTATCCGCAAATGTGTCCTCAAAATGCTTATTTTCGGTGTATGGCACCTCAAATCCAGCGGCGCTGGATTGAGCCATAGGTGACGATTGGTCACTTAGCACCAACGGTTGAAAAATCAAGCTGAACCCACGGACACGGACGTAACGTGTGCCCGTTTCTGGGATGAGCACCCGAGTCATTGTCCGCACTGGGTGCCGCTACGTGAGTGGGCCTCTCGCTGCAGGGACTACATGGACCGCTTCCTGGAGGAGCAGGACCGCGACCCGAACACAGCTGGCGGCCGCGGCGACGGCGACTCGGCGCCCAGCCTGCAGATCCTGATGGCCACGGACGGCGCGCAGCTGAAGCGGTGGCCGCCGTCGCTAGCTCCGGCCACCTACCCGGGCCCCGTACAGGTGTCGCTAGCCGGCGCCGCCGTGCTGGTGGGCAGCGGTGCGCACGCCTCTTCCAAACACCTGCAGCAGTGACGACTGCGGCCGTCAGCTGGCCCCGGCGTCAGCTACCTGGGCGCCCGGCGGCGGCCCGCTGTCTGGACCAGTACAAATCGTCGGCCGCCGCGCACTGGACGCGGAGAGCCGCTGGTAGCGCCAGCGTTGTGCGCGTAAGCGCCAAGTTCAGTGTACAAGTTGTGACGATAGGTGGCCGAAGCGAGAATGTGAACAGCATCGCATTATCGCCTTTCTGGCCAGTAATAAGTTGCTAGTGTCGGAATGGCTGTTATGACTGTTCGTGTCCTGTATGAGTTGCGTGTAATCCCCGGCTCCCCACAGTGGGGCGCAGTGGCGGAGATTGTCACGCTGCGCTGGCGCCTTGTCCGCCCAGCGGCGGTTGACGCTGTAGTGTCCTGTGAAGGAGTTCGGGTTTGGTTCAACGCGAGAACCCGTCTCTGGTTTGACTTCTGGTGACGTTTTCCTACTCTGTTATTGCCTTAGGCGGCTATGCGAGCGTTGAATTAAACTGGTGGACATGAGTATTCCGCACGAGTTAGGAGAGGGTACGTAGCCGGGTATGTGACTTTGTCCGCGGCCCGCATTGGCAGTGGGCTCTCTGCGTCTGCTGAGACAGCAAGACGCCTTATTTTGAAACATGCCTCGTCGTTTTCTTATTCGTGTAGCCCTGCGAACGTGTTTTGTATTTCATCAGATGCAGTCATCAGTAGATTGTCACATGGCGACGAACATGTACGTGAAGACACGGGATCTAAGGGCGATATAAGGGCGATGGTTGTTCAGAAATGGGACGGAATGAACGAAGAAGTCCTCTATTTTGATTGACGAACAAATGACTGTGGCCCGCGTCCACGCCCGCCTAGACCATGGGGAGTTCGCTGGTATCCGTGGTCGAACCGGGAAGTGCGTGATTGTGATGCCGCTTTTCCTTCTGATCACTAGTGCTGTAATGGAAATGCGGCCGAGGTCCCTAGACGGCATGGACCGCTGTGCTGTCGTCCCAGTGGGCTGGCCGAGCATCGATCTTATTTTGTGAGGGTTCAGGCGGCGCGGTCGTGCCCTAAGTGGGCTGACAAGTGTACTCCTAGCTAATCAAGAGAATCAAGAGAATGAAGAGCATAAATCCAGAAATTTCTGGATGCCCCGGGATCTTGCAGCTCAAGATCACACATACATGTTGCCTCATCGGACCGGTGATATGAATCAGCATGGTCATTAAGATATCCACGTTTTCTCACAAGGTTGAGGCTGACCCTGAAACCTCGGAAATCCGGTTCAAGACGGCCCTGGACTGACAGGTTTTATGACATGTAAAAAAGGTTAGATGGTTGAAAAGAAGTTTCTATTCAGCGTGATTAGTGCCGCATAAATATTCAAGGGTAAAATATGCGCTCTCGAATTGAGCCTAGCAAGCCCCAGAGCAGCCGATGAACTTGCCTTGAGGCGCATGTAGCGATGCAGGGTTTGCCGTGGTAAATATGTTATTGTGTTCCTTTGAACGACAACGCTCGAAGGGAAGTCAGCAGCCAACGTACAATACCCGGAATGTCCTCGCATACAGTTGCTGTTGATGCACAACAGATGCGTGGGACTAGACAAATATGATGGTTATATGAGCAGTCCACGAAGCGTGTTGAGGCCAGAAACTGGTGACCCACCCACAATTTCATCTCGGGCAAAAGAGCACTTATCTAACCCAAGGTCGAACATGACCACCGAAAGCCAAGGACATAGCGCAATGCGGGAGTGAAACGATTGCAATGGCCCTTCGGTCTCTTCCCCGGAGGGACTGGGGACCGTGGGGTGCTCGATGGGCGACCAACAGGTCCCTTCCAGACGAATTCAATTGTTCATATGCATACGTGTCATAATCAATCGAAATACAGCGACCGCTTTTGCAAAGGTCTCGAAAGGTATTCAACGCCCGCGGACGAGCTGAGTCCTGTACTGGTCTTATATGGGGCTATCGCGTCCGATATCCAGGAAAGAACGAAAACTTGGAGTCCCAGCGAAACCACTGACTCGTTTGGACTCATCTCACAAATTGTATGCCTCTATGGCGAGACCCCGGATACTAGGCTACATATTTCGAGGGCGTATTAGTGCCCCTTCAGTATTTCATTTCAGCGCAAAAACTTCGGAATCTGCCGTCGCGAATATCACTGCAGACGTCCACGCTATCTGAATGACCGGCGACCTGCAGTTCAACAACCAAGATAGCGAACAAAACAGTAACATGGGGACCTTGAAGAAGAATGCTGAGGCGGAATTGGCGCATGTTTTCCGTAGTGAGAAATGTAGGCAAGATGAGTGAAATCGGGCAACGGCTTGGTTCTGTGTTGGAAAAAGTCAGAAGTGCGGGACGAGAAAGGCCTCAGGTACGTTACATGACTATAAGGTTCCAGGCTTAGTGAACTTTGCAATTAATTAGCGCCGCTTAGGTGATGGCGCATTAAGCTCTGGAATTGCTCGGGAACCCCTCACGAAATTATTCATCTTGGAAAATACACTTAGAGGCACCTTTGATGGTAGGCATCTCATGTGCCTAGACATTGGGGTCGCATGTAGCTTAAAAGGTTTTATTTTACTGGTTAATAATTTCCTGTGGATCTGGGTGGTGTATTTTGGAGAATGGTGGCATTGTGGTGAACATAGGCACCAGTGCATGGGGGCCAGCTAAAACCTTAGCTGTGCCATGCCCCCTGGATATTAACATCATCACTGTTGTCATTGGAGCCCAGTGTGCAGGCCAGGACAGAGATGAGAACAAGGTCCAGGTTTTAGTATCAATTGTGCCCGAACAAGTATTGGGCTTTTCCATTTTGGATGATCCTCACCTTAAGCTTAACATAATTAAAAGTTCAGTTACTCACCAAGTGTGTGGTTCCTCTATTTTGCAGTCAGTCAAATTATTATGATGTTTAAAAGCAAAATTTGATTTTGTCCAAAATATCAAAATAAAGAGATGGTGCAGTTAAACATTGGTATGTAACATTAGAAAAATGGTGTAGGTGTACTTTCCTACCTAGTGTTAGAAAAAATAATTGTACACCATTCATTGTGTTTAAGGCAGAACATATTGCAAATAATCTCAAAACAGGTAGAATCATGCTCCTGCCTTCAAATTTTGATAGCTTTGGTGGTGAGCTCCCGAGCACCACACACACCACACTGCCTGGACTGCCCAGCGCCGTTTCTGCGCTGCTGTTGCATAATTACAATATTTCTGCTTACCAAGAACTATAAAAAGGTATCGAACCAAGGTAACAATAATAATCCAATGAAAATCATTTCTTATCTCATTTAGGTATGTTTATGAAATGCACAGGCCAGAATAGTCCAGAACATAGCCTAAACTAGCCTAACCTAACCTAACCTAACCTAACCTAACCTAAAAAAGACCAGAACCTAAGCTAAACTAAGCTAAACTATTGTACCCTACCCTAACCTAACCCAACCTGACCTAACCTAACCTAACCTAACCTAACCTAACTTAACCTAACCTAACCTAACCTAACCTAACCTAACCAACCTAACCTAACCTAACCTAACCTAACCTAACCTAGCCTAACCAAGAATAGACCAGAACCTAAGCTGACCTAACCTAACCTAACCTGCTAACCTAACCTAACCTAACTAGCCTAACCTAACCTAACCTCCCCACCCCATACCCCCTTCAACCCAGCATCCCATTGGCGTCCACGTTCCATGCCATGTATGGGTACGGTGTAGTGAGCTTTTATTTAGCTGCCATGTTCTCATTTTGCTTTACATTCCCCACCCAATCCCCCTGCAACCCATTGTCCCTTGGTGTTGAGGATCAAATTTCATGGATTCTTGTTACCTTGGCCCCTACATTTTTATGGCTCTTGATGCTGCTTGATGCGCAGTAATGTTGTGACCGCTCGCAGAAATGGCGTCGCGGCTGCTGTGTGTGTGGCGCTCGGGAGCTCACCATCGTAATTATAAAAAATTGAAGGTAAGAGCTTGAATCTACCTGTTTTGTGATTATTTATGATATGTCCTGCCTTAAACACGACAAATGGTGTACAATGATATTTTCTAGCATTAGGTAGGGAAGTACACCCTAACCGAAAAGAATAGTTGTACACCATTTGTTGTGTTTAAGGCGGAACATATCGTAAATAATCTTAAATAAGGTATATCCATGCTGCTACCTTCAAATTTTAATAACTACGATAGTGAGCTCTCGAGCGGCGCACACACCCTGCCGCCTCGACTCCCCAGCTGCCGTTTCTGCGTTATCGCTGCGTAATTACAATATTTCTGCGTATCAAGAACCATAATAAATTATGTGACCAAGGTAACACTAATAATGCAATGAAAAACGTTGCTCATGGCGTCTAGGTATGTTTATGAAACAAACAGGCCAGAATAGTCCAGAACATAGCCTTGACTAGTCTAACCTAACCTAACCTAACCTAACCTAACCTAACCTAACCTAACCTAACCTAACCTAACCTAACTTAACCTAACCTAACCTAACTTTGCCTAACCTAGCCTGGCCTAACAAAACCTAACCTAACCTAACCTAACCTAACCTAACCTAACCTAACCTAACCTAACCTAGCCTGGCCTAACAACCTAACCTAACCTAACCTAACCTAACCTAACCCCCCACCTTATCCCCTTCAACCCAGTGTCCCATTGTCATCTATGTTCCATGCAATATATATGTTCCATATTAAGAAGTTTTGTTTAGCCACCATATTCTCATTTTGCTTTTCATTCCCACCCAAAAATGTCATATTTCCCCACCATGTCAACCAATCTAGAAACAATATGGAAGACTGCTTTGATACACAAGAAACACATTTCATTGGATTCTTGTTACCTTGGCCTCACAATTTTTTATAGTCCTTGATGCGCAGTAATGTGATCATGCAGTTAAGTTGTGATCACGCGAAGAAATGGAGCTGGGGTCGTGGTTGCTGCGTGTTTGTGCTTGGATGTTCACCATTGTAGTTATTTAAGTTCCAAGGTAAGAGTTTAGATGACCTGTTTTACAATTAATTACAATATGTTCTGCCTTAAAAATGACCATTGATGTGCAATGCTCTTTCTTAACATGAGGTAGCAATGTATACCCTGACCCAAGACATTGTATGACTGATCACTGATTGATGTGAACAGCATAAAAGTTATGGAAATGGATCATGCTAACTGAAATATGCTCTTTTTTCTGCAAATTTCACCAACATTAGACCTGCAACATTGCTAGATATTTGTGACCCAAATGTGCCATGGATCTCCCTGCCCACACTTTTAATTTGAATTTCAGGCTTGCTATTCAATTAATCATCCACAAGGTCTGAAAGCTCTATCTGTTTCTATCTATCTATCTAAAGCTCTATCTAATTCTTTAACAAGCATTCAGGATGACTACATGCCTAAAATGTAATGGCATAAGTTGATGCTCAGCAGTAGGAAATACAATTCAAGAGGTGTTGGATTCAGGCAGCAAAAGCAGCAATCAGAGTAAGCCATTAGAACCACTGTGTTGAACTAGTTCATGAAAGCTTCCGCAAATCAGTTTACATGGTCAAGTGGAATATGGTGGCCTGAGACATGGTTTTCAGGTCACCATGTTCAATATGACCAAGTAATCTGGCAGGCTGAACCAGTAAGGGTGGGCTGCATGCTAATCACAGAAATGGATGTAAGTGAGTATTTCACATTTATGTAGGGTTTTGAACTGAAATAGTTATCTTAAAGACCTTCTGGTGCTGTTCACAGTCCTGTTCTCTTTAAGGCCTAAGCCACTCTATTTTCTGAGCTAGGTGCCCACGAATATGGTGAAAGATATATCAGGCAGAGTATTTCAAAGTCACTTTGGCATTCATGACATCATAATAATGTTGCTCAAATCTTGCCATTCCATAAGCCATTCAGCAATTAAGGTCAAGAAAAATATGATAGTCAAGGTATTCATATCTGGCATCTGTGGATGTGATTTCCATATGTAATGGTGGTCAACTGGCTCTATATTGTGCAAGATACAATGACATAACCAAACCATGGCACACCAATGAGCATATTTACTAAACTGAAAATTTTGCTGTATAGAACAGCCTTTTCCACTGAAGTAGTGCACCAATAGTTAGAGTAAGCTTGTGTCATCATATGTGGGGCTTGCTTGAATACCTTCAAATACCTTCAAATGTGAAACATTCCCTTTAAGAGGAAGACAGGTTCTGAAAACAAGAACACAGAATGTAAAGGTGAGTTTAGGACATGGCAGCACAGTCCACCAAATTTGGTATCTCAATCAAATAAATGAATGTGTACCCCTTTAAGTGAAGTGACACAAACAGCCCAAATGAGGAAGTAGAGCTGAGCATGAAGAAAATGACCAGTGAGCTTATCAAATGAAGGCATTTCTGAACCACATACATGGTGTTCAGAAACCTCATCTGTAGTGACAGCAGATGGGTTGAATGGTTCATGGCAGAGTAAATTCCTTCAAACACCTTTTCCCATACAATGGAAGATAAATCAGGCAGAGTATTTGAAAGTCACCTTGGCATTGTGTTTTGATTGATTTGATTTAATTGTTCAGCATTTCCTATACAAAACAGGTGCTTTGAACCTGGATTTAGCTAACCTTTACACATCTTTCTTTTCATGCAGGAGCTGCAATACTCAGTGCCAAGATTGGTAGCTGTGTCGAAAACCAAGCCAGTGAAAGATATCATTGAAGCATATCATGCAGGACAGAGAGTGTTTGGTGAAAATTATGTTAATGAGCTTGTGGAAAAGGCCATGGACCCAAAGGTAAGTTTTGTGCTATCTCTTCAACTCTCACCAGCATTCTTGGTTTCACTGAGTTTGGTAGTGGATGATCAGCTAGACCTACTATTAGCCTGTGTTATACAGGATGCTGACTTTTTGCCAGACTAAAGGTTTCTTGTGTTAGAGATTTTATGCAAACCTCATGAATGGAAGGATTTTTGGGGATCAGAGCTCATGCCAAGCAATGCTTGTTGTGATGCACATTTGGCAAATGGGCATGATTCACAAGATTTAGTTTTCTTTCCTGCAGATCCTACAGTTCCTGCACAGGCAGGGGAGCAGAGCTTACATTGTGCCCAGTGCTAGCATCTACTGAGCTTCAGTCGCCACGGCCTCTGTGCAGATAAAGGGATTAGTATACATCACATTATGGTTTGGTATGTGTCATCATGCACATTTGGTGGAAAGGTATGATTCACAAGAATTTGTATTCCTCCTTTTTTCAAACAGAACACAAGCTGCTCTATGCGGACTGACACGGCACAGGACATTTATGTATTGCGCTCTGACTGCGTCTGATTGCCCTGTCTTTACCGGTGCCTCTGCGGTGACCTGGGGTCGTTTCTGACACTCATTTGACTCCTGCCTTTGCCATCTGGTGTGTTGGTAGCTGCTGGAGCTGTGCCCGGACATTCGCTGGCACTTTATCGGCCGTCTGCAGCGAAACAAGGTCAGCAAAGTGGCCCGACTAGCGGCGCTGAGTATGGTGGAGACGCTCGACTCGCCGCGACTGGCCGACGCTCTCAACGCCGCCCGAGAGAAGGCCGACCTCGACCCGCTCGGCGTCATGGTGCAGGTCAACACCAGCGGCGAACAGAGTAGGTTCAAACCTGCGGAGCATTGAACGAGGGCAGAATTGGGCTGAGGGAAAGGGGGAAAGAGTGAAAGGCATGACAAAAATATTTACTGCTTGCCGTACTTTATGTGGGGAACAGGTTCTGCTGGATTTATTTAAGTATTAACAAAAAAGAAACTTTGGTAATGTTGAATTTTGGTGATGTGAGTGTTTATATATATATATATATATATATATATATATACATTAATGAATGCATGCCATTAATGCCATATAAGCATTCATATATTCATCAATATCTGTACATTCTATCATTTCATCGCTCGTTGTCGGAGAAATATACAAGTAACAAGTTTTGAGTTTTTAGGAATGGAAATCGCGCATTGCTATCTCAAGAACATCTTGTAGTACAAAAGGATGAATGCTCCTATTGTTACTGGAATATGTATTGAGTGCATCCGTAATGAAAACACTAAAAAGACACAACGCCATGTGATTGTAACATGAGATGTACGGAAATAAGCAACTGTCGTTATGTCCGTGGCGCGTGCTGGGCTGATCTGGGAAAGCCCGTGCCAACGTCGACTGCGGTGCGGTTCGCGGCAGGCAAGGGCGGTGTCCAGGCGGTGGAGGTGGCGTCGCTGGTACGTCACGTGCAACAGCAGTGTCCCGCCCTGGTCTTGACCGGCCTGATGACCATCGGCGCGTACAACCATGACATGGCCATCGGACCCAATCCGGACTTTGAGGTGAGCGCTGCCCTCGTCGCCCTTGGTGTCCGATCAGATGGCACGGTCAGCAACAGGTGCGGCACTTGCGATGGTAGCAATGTGAAATTACAGAGCTGAATATTATGGGTCGAGTCTTCGTAGTAAGAAGCGAACATTGAGGGTTCCACGTGCGTTGTGTGAAAACGTGTGCGGCAACTGAACAACGACCGAACAGAAAGGAATTGTTTCATGCTTATATGGGGTCTGAACGTAAAAAGGTAAAGCAGAGTGCTCTGTAAGAGGTGTCCAAGTTGGTCCAAAGGAATTCACAAACTCCGTATTGAATAAGCTCAGCACAACTAACTTTGGGTTTCCTTCGTTGTGAGCGCGTTTTAAAGGGAGTGTGTCTAGGATGATGGGGAATGTCGAGCGTATTTTAAAGGGAGTGTGTCTAGGATGAGTCAGTCGTAAGATGACAGGGAATTTTAGTATACAAAATTGATGTCAATGGTTTCTACCAATTTGCCTCCGCTGACGAAATATTGCCACAGCCTCCCCCCCCCCCAAATTTTCTTCGGTTGGTATGGAAGAACGAAGTTATCGGGTATCCCCAGGTAATCTTCACTGCCAAACACATTGACGTCGTTGAGAAGGTATCGTTGGCTCTAGCCAATGGCTTTTCGAGCATGTTGCTTGTCAGCGCTGACAGCAGCTTGCGAACGCAGCGATGGCAGCGGCCATTATGTTTCGGTTTTTTTTTTACATTCAGCTGAGAACTGCGGTTGTACGGTGTTGGACGTATGATGCGCACCGCGATTTATTCATGTCGGCATCTCGCGTTATACTGAGATGAGGTACAGGTTTTGTGTCGTGTCAATCGCCTGCACTATGTTCTGTTTATCGCAAGAAAGAACGGAATTAAAGCTGGTCAATCAATTCGTCACGAGCATCACGCTGAAATTTTTTCAAACTCAACAAAATTGGTCGTAAGGTCTGCAGGACAGCACTGCTGATCTCTCGAAGCAATAACAGTTTTGGATGTTTGCATTGCTTGCATCAACTTCATGTTCATACGGTTGGTCGAAATATATATATATATATATATATATATATATATATATATATATATATATATATATATATATATTGGCTCTGAGGTTATTTTCGTTGGCAATTATTTTCACGTTCTAAATTCATTACCTACCTTTGAAGCAAGTTATGCTATACTTTCATTCGGTAATTGCTCCAAACTGGTGCTGTTTCATGAATGACGTGGGAAAATCCCAAACACAAAATTAACTCGCTCAGTTTTATTGAAGGTATTCAACAAAACGCTGAACATTCAGCTGCATGTATATGTACAATACATCCAGCTCAAACACCCCACATGTAACTACATGCCACACCCACGTAAACGCTACGAAGTCAGTTGAAAAGAACGAAACGGAAACACTGCTCATGATCGATGTGTCATACTGTTCTCATTCATCGTTGTTGCTGCCGGAGTCGGTGCTGGAGTCGCTGCTATCATCGGTTGTTACGACAACCGGTGGGAGATCTTCTAGCAGCCCGTCGTTCATCCAGTACTGCTGCTCCAGCCTTTTGACGTGCTCACAGCACTTACTCCAGTCCTCTGGAGAGACAGCCGCGACACCTGCCTCCACCAGCCGTTCCACCTCCTCCATCCGTCCCGTCAAGTTCCCCTCGTCTTATCACGCGCTTCATCTGTGCCCACACTAACTCTATCGGGTTCAAGTCGCAGTGATACGGCGGCAGGCGAACGATCCGATGACCATGATCTCTAGCAAGGTTGTCCAGAAAATATTCCTTCTTCCGGTTCTGGGACTTGACTAGCTCCAGCAGCTCCACCTTCCGCATGTCTTCGTCGATGGTCACACCTGCCTGCTGCAACCACTCCTGGATTTCCGCTTCACGCCAGCTAGAAGTTAGCACTTTTTGGCACAAACGGGAATGATATGAGACATTATCTATGATGATCACAGAGTGCTCTGGCACGTTCGGAAGCAGGCACTCGGTGAACCACTTCTCGTAGCAGTCGGCGTTCATCGACGTATGGTAGTCGGCGTTCTTGCCATCGGTCCTGAGGTGGAGAAGTGCGCCCGGTATAAATCCTTCTGAAAAGCCGGCATGGACTATGCTAAAACGTTTTCCTTTTCCAATGGCGTTCTTCCGTCCGTCGATTTGACTACCGTCCAGCCACGCCAAGTCCTCCATATCGTACCGATTATACCATGTCTCGTCGGTGTAAATGATTTTGCTATCGGGAACTTCTCTACGCAGCCTCCTCATCACCCGCAAGAACTGGCATCTCGTTGCTGCAATATGAGGTTTTTCGATCAGGATCTTGCGCTTGTCGATCCTTCGGTACTTAAATCCTTTCGCGAGTAGGTGTTTTCTTGCGGTGGATCTAGACATGGTGACGCCGAACTGTTCGTGAAGAGCATCCGTAATGGTGTCCAGAAGAACATGTTTTCCGTCGATGTACATTTGGTGTACCATTCTCCTCATCGTGCAAACATCGAACGGATCTAGATCCACCCTTGGTCTTGCTGCAGCTGGTCGGGATCGACTTGGCGACTTCAGTCTGGCACCATTCTGGGCTTCACGTTGTATGCGGTAGACTGTAGTCTTCCCAACGCCCGTTACAGCTGCTGTTCTTAATAATGGACTCTCCCAGACGGCGTCATCGTCTCCCGCCTTCAACTTGATGTCCCGGTCTTTGACAGAATGTTGATACACATTATAAACAATTTCCCTTCTGTGTGCCCCAAGAATCCTTCCAGACGCTAGACTGGATTTTTCATTCATTGGTAAGTAGGTGCTAAAACATATAAAAGATATAAAAAGACAATTAAATATACAAGTAGAACAATATTCAAGCTTTTCACTGCGTAAAATATCGCCGCAACACCAAAGTGACGCCGGTCATCATGCCGGTAATTTTTGGGCTACAGCACACTCGAATGATGACCCACGAGCAAAAAAACGTGCAAAATCGTTGGCAGCACTTTAATTCTGTTCTTTCTTACGATAAACAGAGCATAGGCTCTAGGAAAATGAGGTTGTTCTGCGTCATTCTGACAGCGGCTATAGGCAGCTAGAACTCCTATACCCTGAAATTAATGAACGAATTCCGAAAGCACGTGCACCAAATTCAGCGTTCGAAGTAACAAGGCACATGCGCTGAAATTTTTGCTTCGATGTCGCTGGTACACCAGGCAGATTCAGGGTTTCATATTTTTCCGTCTCGAATTACGCAATGGATCCTTAAAGTGCGTACCGCTCTATACCGCCAGCGCTCGCCCTATACACACGAGACCGTAGCAACGAGGATAATGACCATATCACTAGCGCCTAGTTTCTCGCCACGCGTAAGCCAGTGCATTTTTCCTTTCCGGCCCGCCGATTGGTTCATTTTGTGGCATTGTATTTGTCCACGCACAGCCATCGATGCCATCAATAAAAATGAATAGATAAAAACAGTTTCAAGACTCAAACACACATAACACCACAATTAACCATACATAGTTGCACAAAACTCCCCTTAGGGCGTGTATTTGGGAAATCAAAAACAAGACACTGCCTTTAGGCATGTTAACTGCGTTTATTTATCAACTGAAGACAGTTTAATGCGTTTTTTCCCTTGTTCATCTAGGGATATCACATAAATATGCTGATAGTGTAACATGAGTTTCAAGTTTTCTGCTGTTTTATTTAATTATAAAAGTTTGTTATTTGCTGTTTGAAATGTATTGTCATCGAGAGCGCTTGTAAACTTGTCGAGTGAGCCTGACGAGGGCAATCTTATCACCTACATCATGCACCACCGAACCGACCATGCTGTTTCTTATGTGCACACTGGACCGCCGTTATCAGCCAGCTGAGTCAAGGACGCCGGAAGTCAGGTGGAGCAGTCATGTTCTTGTTCGGCCGACTGATGGGCTGTTGATGCAACTGTGTGTTTTTGGTGTGTCCAGCGGCTCCTGAGGTGTCGCGAGGAGGTCTGCAAGGAGCTCGACCTGAGTCCCCGGCACATGGAGCTCTCTATGGGCATGTCGGCCGACTACGAGCACGCGGTACGGCTTCTTGTGGTTTCCGTTCGCAGTGCGAGACTCACTTGTTTACCGTCTTTGAATTCCTTCGACGTTTGGGCAACAGTTTTATCGAGCATTTGGTTGTTGGCTTGCGGCTTTCTTGCTTTGTGAGTCGTCACTAGTGGAACACGCGCACTTCCTTTTCAGATATTAGTGGGCAGTACAAACGTGCGCGTGGGCAGCGAGATATTCGGCGTGCGCCAGTACAAGGGCACGTCGAGCAGCGCTGAGCCGGCAGCGCCGACACCGGGCCCGGCCGGCGTTGACGCCCTGCCACCGGCCGGGCCGGCGGACGGTGCCGCTGGTGCCGCCGCCGGCACGCAGTCGGCACAAGCCCGCCTCTCGGCCGTCCAGTGATCCGGCGGCCATCCATGCGTGGGAGGCCGTCTGCCGACAGAGGCCGCTCGCACGATAGCCACGTTGGTATGAGAAGTAGGCGGTGTGGGGTGGCATGGCCTCCGGATCAGAGTATAACTTGCCAAGGATGTGCTGGAAACGTATTTTGTAATATAAACGGTGCGCGATGTTGATGTATGTTGCAGAGGCCAGTTCATCGTCGTCTTTCGCAGATGGGGTTGAAGGCATGGAGTTTGGGTAAAAAAACAAAAACAAGCGGCATGCCCCATAGCTTGAATTTGTTCGCCGTGCATTTTACCTTGGCTCGTCGGCGACGCATGACGTACCCCGAGGGTGCGGATAGTGTAGTGATCGATTTCCGTGGGTGGGCAGTCAGAGGTACAATGTTTGGTTCCCCGCGATATCGCCCTTCTTGTCAGGTTGAGAGGCATACGACGTCATATAGCCTCAGCAGCTGAGTGCGACGCGAAGCTCCGGTGGCGACGATGACGACCTTTACCCTGACGGTGTGTGCCTGTACAGCCCAGCCAGCCGCCACATTATGTTGCACCGTTAATTGTGAGCCCAGGCGCGCCCAGCGGGGGACAGCACGCTGGACACGAGTCTGGGTCTGCAGAGGTACAGGCTGTCCACGACATCCTTTTTGAAAACATGCTTCCGATGGGCGCTGGCTGGAATACGCTGCTGGAGCTGGTCTTCGAGCAGTGAGTGCTGGTTGGAACACGCTGCCAGAGCTGGTCTTCAAGCATGGCTATGTTCAAAAGAATGGTTATTCGGTCCCATTGAAAAAGTAGCCTCGTGTGAGCGCGTAAGCTAAGCGTCTGTAAGAACAGTCTCCAGGTGCTAAGGTCCAAGCCGCGCCCAGAACCCCGTAACTCGAACGGTGCCACTAAGCCCGTCACAGCACAACCTAGCGCAGGCGCTGAGCCATATACCCTACCTGGAGTGTCTGTTGGCATGCGTGACATCCTCAGTGCTGCACCACAGTACGTCCTTTCCGCCAAGTACTTGTCTGTTGGGGATAGGCATATAGGAAGCATTTGGGTGGCAGATATTGCCCTTTCATGTGATGAGGGTCGTTTTCATCCTGGTATCAAAATGTTCGATTAACTGCTCATCTACGTGCTGAAGTGCCACGGAACTGGACGAAATGGTAGCTATAGAGGACAGAATCCCAGTAAAATGTCACGCAACCACTCCTAAGTAAACAGGTGCTGTATTTTACACGTTAGCTGGGATCGCCTGCTGGGTGGAAGTCCCCCCCCCTCCATTGAATTCCCGTACCAACTTCCAAAAAGGTCCAAGTAGGTTACCGAATTTTCAGAACTTGTTGGTGACATTTTTTGCACATTCTAGTTCAACGCTACGTCGGTGCCGCACAAGGTGACTGAGCTGAAACGTCGTTATTTAGGGATTGCGCCGTTATGCGTGCCTCGGCGGTCTGGAATTCAGTTTCATTTTCCTTTTCACGTTATTTTGATGACTTATATCGACAGGTTCAGATGTTTGCCAGTGAGTCAATTGGAGTCAACGAGGTCGTACCCCCTCTAGATGTCGTGTGCGGTACACATCTATGTGTCAAACCCAGTGAATTTATGCCGCCCATTTGTGATGATAGGTCGACGCAATCCATGCGTCTCACAAACCGATGACTTTTGATTCTGTAATCTACAAGGTCACCCAAGAGCGAAATACTCAGTTCAATTGGCTGGCCGCGCCTTGAACTTCCCCGCCCATGTGCAGGACCTGGCCCTCGTCCCTGGCCTATGGCATGTTTCTGACGCGGAAGTAGATGCCTTTCCTGCTGTGCCAATCACGAAGTTATGCAACGATCATCACTGTTAGGTACCGAGATAGCAATGGGCAATTGGTAGAACTTCCCAGGCGACCAGTGTGTGGGACACCCCAGGCGGGGCCAGCTTGAGGTGAATGCCAGCACGCCCCCTCCCTGCTACCGGTCAGCGGAGGAAATCAGTACTTAACGCCAGTCTACACATCGCTTACACGGGGAATCCAGCGCCGAAAACTATCCGGGAACTTCCACTTTTGAGCGACGCCATTATGGCAATATGATGACGCGCGTACCTAGCTTAAAATGACAACAACTAAAACGCCGATACCCATGCTCGTTACGCTTTAACCTACAGGACGCATCGCCACCGGGTAACTTTTAACCACGACGTAAAGGCCGTGGCTGCTGCTCAGTTACAGACGGGCGCAGTATACGTTTGTGTGGGCGAGCGTCTGCGTATGACTGCGCGACACTCGGTCCTCTGCGATGTGTGAAGGCTAGGCTGACTGAGGGTTTTCGTGATCGCGTAGCTCTTTCTAACTTACTTGGTATCAGACGAAGTTTGGTCCATTGAAAAGTTTCATACGCAACAGCATTGCTGTCACCACATGGAGACATCCGTTGTTCATTCCATGGATATCTAGAAAATTCGCACTGATAGAGGTAAAAGAGGCGGGGAAGCAGCACATGCACATTATTAAATTCGGTCGACCAGCCAGTCCTTTCCGAAGCACGCCGCCGGACGTCGACGCCGATTGCATGTGAATGATGGCATATTCGCTGACTAAATCAACAGTCGCATGCATATTCAGGACAATTTAATTAGCAGCCACAGGTGCAATGTGTAGGACAGTTGAATGAACAATACACAATCTAATGGAAACACGGAATGGAGTTCTGGAGCGGATAAGCTTGTGGAACTCGAAGTTTTCAGTGTCGTCACGTTATACCTGATGTAACGCAAGAAAAACGGAGAACGCGACATACTTTTATTGCAAAAGGCTGTGCCCTCCGAACTATCGCACATTATTTGGCCTGACAATACCAACCAAACCTTTCGTTTGCTGCTGTGAACACAGGGACATAGGCTTTAAGAGCAAGGGGTCTATGGGGTCATATCGCTCCACGTTGCTTGGCATTGTAGCATGAACTCTGATGGAGCATGGCCATGGTTAAATCAGAGAGAGACAGAGGGAGAGAGAGAGACAGACAGACAGACGGGCAGGCAGAGAGGGAGGGAGGGGGACCCACCTGCTGCCACAGTTGTGCGCAACTCAAGTGTGCATTTAAGTATGTGGTTTAGACGCATTCGATATTGGACTGGACGGCTAGTTTTCTTGACGCTGCTGTTTTGCGCGTGCTTCCATCGGTTCCCCTGCTCAGTCGCCGTCAAAAACATGTATTTTCAAAACATTTACGCTGTTTTTGTTCGCGTTTATCGGAGCTGTATCAAAGTGGGGTGATGCTGTTGGCAGCTTTGAGTGTGTTTGTAGGCTTAAAGGCTAGTTAGCTTTATTTATCATATTTTATGTTTTGGTGGTGTACCTCCATTTAAGTGTCCTGTTCAATGGAAGCTTAGTCCTTGCATGCATTGCAGATTTTTGTGATAACCTTCAAATGATAAATGTATCACTGCTGTTAAAAAAAGCTGACTATTTTCATGTCTTGAAACGCTAGAACTGTGGAACGTTGCGCAGGGATACTGCTTATTGACTTCGGGCCGTCCCACTGTCCGTTGCGCGATTTGGACGTATACGCTGATCCACCCTCGGGCACATTCTCTAGTTGGTCGTGTTTGGACCTACGTGCTGGTCCACCCTCGGGCGCATTCTCTGTAGTTGGTCGTGTTTGGACCTACGTGCTGGTCCACCCTCGGGTGCATTCTCTGTAGTTGGTCGTATGTGATGGGAAGTCCGGCAACTGAGAGAGATGTCACGAAAAGAGCTGCTGTTGAGAACCCTGGACTGTGTGGCTAAGTGAGAGGACGGCGTGGCGGATCACTCAGCCGGTGGTAGGGACATGTCGGGGATTTCTGCTGACGCATGTCGCGCCGTATGTCCGTGTACAGTGTGCACTGTAGTTTTAGGGGCGAGGGGGGGGGGGGACTAGTCCTTTGTAGGACTGTGAAGCAGCCAAAACTCCGCAACTTCGTGCTTAATACACGTTGACCCGCTCTTTGTGTTGATTAAAACATGCGTGAAACTGATCGCTTTATCGCACCCTTCCTTTAACGGCCCTAAATAGTATGATCGTCGTGAGAACGCAGACCATGTTGAGAGATGTGCGCCCCACTATTCCGGCGTAGGTGAGAATGCCGTTGATTAAGGTGGTCATGGTCCAGTCAGTTTATACCGTTCGCTGCAAAGCCATGGAGGGGTTTTATATTACAGACCGTTTTTTTCCAGAGTGCAAGAAAAGGAAACGCGGCGGCGGTGCATATCACTATGCAGGCACAACATGTACAGCTTTCGGTGGGCTAATGCCCCCAGCAACTTCAACGTCTTATGTGTGCCCCGAACGCGGACGTAGTTTCGCAAAATCAGTTCGGGGAGAGGCGGCTGAGCCTGGGATTTGATACGACCTACGTTGAACTTACGCCAGAGACGGCTGTCTCCCCTGATTTGGACCATTTTATTTTCTAACTTGGGGAAGGGGGTGGCTGGAACCCAACTGAACATGAATCTACCCCATGGCCCTGAATAGTAAATGCATAGTTGCAGGTGTGGCAATATGCTTCGGGGTACCACACAGAAACCGTAATATTAATTTTCGAGAGGCACAAATTTCTGGGGCTTTTTAGGTGTAATTATTTTTTCTTCAAAGAACTGATGGGGTATCGGAAGCCAGGCTTCATCTTATGAAGGTCGAACAAAAATAGTGGTGGCCCAGCCAAATATTGGAGGCCCAGCCTAACATTGGGGGGGGGGGGGGGGGGGCAGCAGCTCGGCATGGAGGGCACGCTACCCAAGATATACGCAGCTCCCTCTGCATGCATCTCACATGAATCTCAATCCTGCTGCCCTCCATTGCTATGCACTCATTTGTACACGGTAAAGAGAAATTAAACGTGGGAGCACAAAGTAATAAGCCTAATGCACCTGTGCCAAGTATGGTAGCGTATGACTGCCGTCCAGAGGTAAAACCCTGTATGTTCATTTCTGACCAGCTTGCGTTTTTTCTGTCATCTGATTCGTCTTCTACTGAATTCAGATACTTAAAGCAATGGTTCAAATTTGCACACGGTTTTAGCTTTAAAAAAATGGGTTAAAAGCTTGTAAAAGCTTGATAGTTTTAATGACCAAATTCAGCATGAGTAGACGAATCAGAGGACATCAAAAGCGCAACACGGCCAAAAATTAATATGGAGTTTTACCTT